TTTACTAAAGTAAACTTCTTGATTAAATTAAAGAACACTATTATCGCCTCTACTTTCAGTTTAACCCGATCATTGAGTACGACCATAATAACATCAATATAAAGATGGAACCACATTCCTTTGACTACTTTGCTAAAGAACCCAGCAACGTGTTTTTACAAGGTCCTTCCATGGAGGATTTCAAAATCAAACACAAACCAGGTAAACAATGCCATACTTCACAAATAGCGGTCATTGAAAAATGTAGTCAGTAAAATTAATTCTTTGCTTTCTTGCTGTGTTTTCTTTCAGATGTCAGGATTTTCAGACGTAAATATAAAGGTAAAGTCGTGAGATGTGAACCAGAGTCATTGCACACGATTGTAAACCATAAGAGCTCTGCCACCAGTACCGACAGCCGATACGAAACTGTCCGCATGTGTCGCTGTCCGCATGCAACTCCGTAGCTACAGCGACGTTCCTCCATTTACTCCAGAGTGTTAACGCTGGTACCTATTACCTAAAGGCTGGATGAACTCCGGGAGTTGTCCAGTTTCGACACCTGCCGTGGGCTGCAGCGAGTCGTTCAGACACATTGGGCATAATTGGCTAGATCTATATTTTTTTTAGACCAATCCAATCCTCACTTGGTGATTGATGTGGTCAACATCATACCGACCGCTTTTATCTCCCAGGACATTTACCTGGTACCCATTTAAGACTTTGTCGACCTGGGAACTAAGATCATTTTTGAAGAAAAACCCTAGCGTCATCCGGATTTTAACCCACGACCTTGGGATCCGCAGGCGATAGTCTGGCCCTTCACCACTGCAACTGCCTTAAGTCCATAGCGAGATTTAATGGCTGCATCATGCATGGTGGTATTCACATTCATATTTAATTCTAGACGATGTTGCATCGTGAAGTCTCAAACCTAGTAACTTTTTTCTTTAGAGAAGAGACTTAAAGACAGTCTCAGACAGACCTGCCTTTGGGAACATCACTGCTAAAACCTAATCTGTCACCTTTACCCTGGAAGCTATCAAGTATGGAGCGGAAACAAGAAGAACAGCTAAGACAATACTAATAAACACCACTTCATTAACTGGTGCCTCCTCAGAAAAGAGGAAAGTAAATGGTATGATAGAATCTCCAAAGTAGCGCTTTGCGAGAGAACTAAACAAATTCCAGTGGACCAACAGGTGAAGAAAAAGACGCCGGCGTTAATATAGGACACAAGTTAAGAAAATCTGAAAACAATATAACTAGAATGTCTTTGCATTGGAACCCACACTAAAGGAAGACCAAAAACTCAAGGAGAAGGGAGCTAGATAGTGAAGTTGAAAAGATGGGGGAGGACATGGGGAGAGCTGCATGCGATACCGAGGGATACAACGACTTGGCGTCAGTTGGCTGAGATCCCAGCTCCATTGGGGGCTAGACAGGCAAACGAAGAAGAAGTAAAGCGACACAGTACAGAAAAAATGACTTCTCCCAGCAGCCCCATGGCTGGAGATGAGTTCAGTGGCCTGCAAAGACGATCAGCTGCTCTTAGTTTGATTTTGGAAAAACCTTTTCGAACAGTTGTGGATACATACATAGATTAATTGACCAGCAATAAACGCGGTTAAGACTAGGGGGTGCTAGCATCTATTTAACATACCCAGACAACCCCCGCTCGGCTAAGTCAGTGCTTTTAAGTGGTTGTCTGCTGACCTACGGTTGGTTGTCTCAATGCCCTAGATAAGCGGTACTTGACTTGCTGGGTCAAACGACCCCTTCACAGTGGTCGATGAAGACAATCGCAAAGTTAGGAAGTAATGACGAAAATAAATGTATGGTTATGGGGTCGCCACAACATGAGAGAACTGTATTAAAGGGTCGCATCATTAGGAAGGTTGGGAACCACAGCTCCCAGATTATTTCAAGGAGTCCATGATATTGCAAAAGCCCCTCAGCTTTAAGAATGCAATTTTTTTGGTCATTATAATATTTATAAACTAGAAGCTGGTGGATGAGCGGTTAAAATCGCCTAGATTTAGATGCGGCAGACCCAGGTTCGAATCTCAGCAAGGTTATGAATTTTTATTTTATCGGAGGCAAAATTAAATCCGAACCTGCACAGTTTGTGGCGACAGCCCTAGCCATACACCCTTAAATCCCTAGACTCTCTGTCTACATTGCAAAAGTGGTAAAAACAGACAGTATTCGGCAGATATTTAGAGTTACATGTTAAAGTCGAGGAGATCGACTTCACTGCACCTGGTTTTATCCCTTATGTCTAGGTCTGTCTCTCTCTTATCGCAGAACGACAAGCCGCCTGCAGAGAGCATGGCAAAGAGCACGGGGAGGTGTGGGGGGGCGGGGGGGGGGAGGGGGAGTGTCTTGGGCATATTGTCAAACAAAAGCTAGTCTTCCAACAGAAAGTAGGTCACCTTTAATTGATAACTTTCTTGGACTGGTCTAACCTGCTGGATTATAGGTGTATTGATCTGTTGTGTGCTTTCTGGGATGTCTTGCAATTACTTTTTTTATTCCGAGAAAGAGAATGCCTGTGACATAGGTTTCATTACTCTCTATAGAGATTTTGTGTTGGACCCAGTTTGTAGATGTTTTTCTAAGTGTTAGGGGCGATGGAATGCTAAAATATAGAAGACGCAATATCAGCGGCGTTGGGGAACAGCCCCATCACCTTGTGACAAGGCCGGGTGGCTCAAGGTCGACAATCGGAAGTGAGCTAGGCTAAGGGATGACCAATCGGAAGTGAGCTAGTGTGTAAATGGGTGGTCCGTGGGGAAACTAGTGTTACTATTACCTGCCATATACTCAAGGGCAGGGGTTTGGAGACCATTGGTCTAGCGTGATCCGCACGTTTTTCATTTGTTTTGTGTTCTACTGATTAACGTCTGTCAACACATTTTTGTAATGTATTGTCTTGTTTTTCAGTTCTCGGAGAACCAGAGTCGCCACAACTTATTAGCTGGACAAGAACACACCCACAGAACTGGCAGAGAAAAGAAGTTCTGGACTGGATTTATTTTGTCGTAGAGCAGGTATCGTTGTTACTCTAATTCAGTGGCTCTCACCATTCCTAATACAACGACCCTTTAGTACAGTTCCTTATGTCGTGGTGACCCCCGACCATACAATTATTTTCGTTGCTACTTCATAACTTCAGTGAATATTTGTTTGTTTTTCCTGTAAAAATATCGTTCAAACAAAACAAAACAAAAAAATTTAAAAAAAGGGTCGCGACTGACAGGTTGAGAACCGCTGCTATAATTAACCTTGCTCGTTTAGTAACCACCAATTGGCGAGTCTTTTTGTCTTGCCCTCTATACCCATATTGTATATACAAAACGGCACTTGGTGGGTTATGTGGTCAAGCATTACGATGGCCGCCTTTACTTCCAAGGACTGTACCCGGTACCCAATCAAGGCTGGATGGACCTGAGATCCTAGGTCATTATCGAAAAAATTTCGGTCCCACTCAGGACCCGAACCCACGACCTTCGGACCCACAGACGAGCGTCTAGCCGCTAGACCACGGCGGCTGCCTATGATTAAAGTAATGCTGATAAATAAATACTTTAAACAAAGGAACTGTGTGTGTTTGTGTGGTAAAGTCACGTCCCTACGTTACAAATTGTCTGGAGGGGTTAGTTTCCTTTGCCTCTGACTATATCACAGCACAGGCAGGCTGCCTGGACACGAGGTATGGCATCCGACTCGAGTGCTGAAGGTCTCAGGTTCAAACCCTGGTGACGGCTGGGATTTTGTCACATTGACTTCTAGTAATTTTCCAGGTCTTTAGACAGTGAGATCGGACGCCCGTGTGTATTGTTGCGCAGGTGTTAACAAAACATTTTGGCAGATGGAAATTGAAAAGAGTAGCCTAACGGCGCTGCCAGGGCAAAATTTGTAGTGAAAAATCTACCTAAATTATTTCAGTATCCTCGCCTGTGCAGTGGAGTTCGTGCACGCGCTGACAATTTTCAGACTCAAGCTTGAGTTAGAAGTAGTGCGGTGCAGGTTTGAGTTGACACCCGTGTGCCATGTTGTTGATCTGTTGACTAAAGTAAATTATATCACAGTACCTGTCTTTTCTCACATTTCTGTATCTCTCTCTCTCTCTCTCTCTCTCTCTCTCTCTCTCTCTCTCTCTCTCTCTCTCTCTCTCTCTCTCTTTCTCTCTATGTCTCTCTCTCTCTCTATGTATATATATGTATATATATATATATATATATATATATATATATATATGTGTATGTGTGTGTGTGTGTGGTGTGTTTGTGTGTGTGTGTGTGTGTGTGTGTGTGTGTGCATGAACGACTTAGTCTTAATCGAGGTTTCAACATGACTGCAATCGGGTCACCTCATGTTTGCTCTGTACCTGCGCCAGTGAAAATCAGATGAAATGTCCCTCACTGTCACATTTGGTGACAAAACTGATGAATTAACCATGAGTCCTGGCACGATCCTGAAATATGCACACTCTGTAAATGATTATAACAGTTTCTAGAGGCGCCAAAACCAATAGTCGCCACCAGAAACGCAGTTTGCCGTTAATGGGAGTAGCCAGGCACGATAAGTTGGCTAGACACACGTAGAATTATTACACAGGGTTTTTCCCCAGCCCATGCGTAAACCGACAAATCAAAAGCATCAGGTAAAAAACACAGTTCATAGAGCTTTACCTAGCACTAAACTCACTAGTTTGGACAGAGAAACCGTAGACTACCCTCCATATTTGGAAACTGCATTAGCAAAGCACTGTCGAAAGCAAAATTGACTTCGAAGTTTAGCATCATTATGCCAACGACTTCGACTGGAGTTTTTCATTTCTTCCATGCACAGTCCTCCATTTTAATGAGATATAAGGTTCTGTTTCTAAGCTCTCTTAATTTTCTTAATATAAAAACGAGTGCTGATAGAAGACACGAGGCAGATAAAATAACACGTATAAGAATGTGTGCACGAGGAATTCGGTGTGGATTAGACAAGGAGAGATGTAAGAAAAGGAATAGATTGGCATGTAAATAATCAATGTGCTACAGGGACAGATAGGATCTATCATCATCATCATGCAGCAGGTCCTTTGCAGAACGTCGCTCTCATCACAGTCTGCCTGAAAGAAACTCGGTCTCTCGCCAGCTGTCCCGCCGCATGCACTTTCAGACTCAAGGAGTCACTTATATCATGTGCCCATCTTCGTGTTGATCGGCTCCTGTCCCTCCTTCCTGGTACCATGCTTTCAGCTATAACTTTTTACAATGCATTGTGGCGCTTGATATAACCAAAATATTTCAGCTTCTCTACCTTACCATATTTACTATGGTAGAAGGAGCACCTATGGCGATTCCCAGTGCACTATGATGTAGTTTCTTAAATCAGTAAAGCAGTAAATCTTTATTACCAATCGATCAGGAGCATTTGGATGGGTCCAAACTGCAAGGCGAAGCCTACAACAATTTCGATGGTAAAGATCTCTGTGAAATGGATAGGAAACAGTTTCTTCAGGCCGATCCTTACTACGGTTCCAAAATGTATGAAACTTTTCGGAATTTAGTCAATGGAGGTAAGCAGCTGATTGGTTGTTTGATTAGGTGGTTGTTATGTTTTGTTGGTTGCACGCATGTTTAGTTTTAGTTTGACTGGCTATACCTTTTTTTTTTTTTAATCGATTAAGTGTTTGGCATGTTGTTTGAGCGGCTTGTCTGACTGACTGACTGGTTGTGTATTATGATTTTCTCTTTGTTGTTGTTTTGCTTTCTGCCGGTAGTGAATCGCGTCAAGTTATTTTACCTGTTACTACTTTTAAAAGTATTAGTAGCAATAGCAGATGTAGTAGTAATAATTGTTACGGCTGAAGCAGTGGTATTGATAGTCGTAGTAACAGTATTGATGATGGTGACTGTGGCAATAGTAGCAGCAGCTGCAACATATGTTATTTTTATGACTTAATTTGGCTGACGACAGTATTACTCCAGCCATTGCTGGTGAATATGTTATTATCGGCTTGATTTAGAGTAATCAAGTATCAACTTTAATATTGTTTCTTTCTTTTCTTTAGTTTCATTTCTACAGCCTAAAGATGAAACAGACATTGATTGTCTGGACACTTTTAACACCGCCATATGTACAGAATACACGGAGCTGAACAGGAACATTTCCAGGAACGTCGTTGGTAGATCTCATCTTTCAGGCGATGGAGTGTGTGATAAAGACAGACACGGCTCAGGTGAGATAAAGATCAACAACTCTAATTACTATGATATTTCAAATACAAATTATAATGAGTCAATGATAGGAGAATAAGATTGGATGCAAGCCATTGTTTTAAATAATAATTGTATCTGCCAGTGTCGCTCTTTATGGAGTTTGATACACTATGAAGGGGTGAGTGAAGGGTGGCGATTTTCAGCAATTTTGGATGATACACAGTATTCTATAAATTAAACGTGTTCAATAAGACCGCCTTGTTGGTAGTCGTGTATGTTTGTTTGTGTGTGTGTATGCTTACATGCGTATACATCTGGGAGTGTGTCTATGCGTTTACAGAAGCATACTTTCTTACTGTTCCCATCAATAAATGTCTCATCAACGTAACGACATGATTGATTGAGTCCAGCAAGAAGTAACAGGCCCTAATCCTCTGTAAACCCGTACTTAATGACTGACCCCGGGGATACGCTGTTTCGTAAGTAAAGAAATCACAGTCGACAGTCTGATAAACCAGAGTGAAATGAAATCAAACAATCACAATGGCTATGCACACCCACCCCCCCCCCCCCCTTTTTTTAACCTTTCCCACCCGATCTAGCAAGTGGTTGGTCGCTTGCCTAACGGTCTAAATGTTTCGGTTCGCGTCCACATTTTATTTTATTATTATGAATCCATTAGCTCTAAATTCGACCTAGCAAAACATGTAAATTATTAAAAAACAAAGGTTAAGGACTTTTTTCACGCTGCAATAAATCGTCTTTGTCAAGCTGTAGGACTACGCCAGTTGAGAGAGTTAGTTTAACGACCCACCAAAAGGAAGACCATTATACGTACACAAATGAAGTTGAAGGTTTGAACGACTGATCAACATCATGACACCAGGGTAGTAGCCCATAAGGGCTCCTTTCTACTTCTAACTCAAGCCCGAGTCCGAAGAATCTCAGCGCAGTGCACCATCTCCGTAGCACCGGCTAGGATCCTGAAATATTTTAGGTAGATTTTTTTTTCCCCAAATTTTTCCCGGCAGTGCCTTTATGCTACTTTTTTTCGATATCTAACTGCCAAGAGATTTTTTAACATGCGCAAAAATACACACGGGCGTCCGATCGTACTACCCAGAGACAACGGGGAATTACCAAAAGTTCAGGGAAAAAACATCCCAGTTTTTACCGAGGCCTGAACCCAGGACCTCCAGCACTCTAGTCAGACGACATGCCTCGACACCACTTCAGCGCCCATACCCCCGCCCCCCCCCTCTTGAACACAAAAATGTTAATTGCTAAGTCAGTCGAGTCGACATTGTCCTTATCGTAGGTCTTCTAGAACGTATTCTCTTACAGAGATCGACTTAGGTTAATCTGTTTTACCTAGTTTGAACTTGTACATGCGCTTCACTCCTGCCTCTGGTTACTGGTAGGCGTATTGGGCATATAGGGCTAGGAATACATTTTATAGATCAATCGGAACTTGGTGGGTGAATTAATCGACATTACGAAGCCTGCCATGTGAATATGCTATATCCAGGCGAGTGAAGGTGGTCAGCGCTTTCTTCACAAAACGCATCGAATGCCGATTGATCAAAATAAGGGTAGCCGTGTTGATGCTGAGGCCCCATTTTAGGGGGATAAAAAACCTTCCTAATGCAACTCTAACAAGCATTTTGTAAAAGGCAACAGAAACGGGATGTTGCCTTCGAAATCCGAGTACATCTGCCTGAGAGGCAAGGGACCAACAGCCTGCAAACGCATCCGTAAAACGGTTGTGCAATAAAAAAAAACGGAAGTGCTGGAAAAAGACTAAGGTTTTTATATGGATAAACAAACAGAACTTTCCGTCAGAGTTTACAGCTGGTTAACGTGAAGAAGAAGGAGAAAATAAGGATGTTACCATTCTATCCCCGGCCTATGTGCAAGATACTTAAATCACGTAAATTGTCAATTGTATTTCAATCCTATGAATTTACAAGAAAATAACAGCAGCTTGGCAGCTCTTTATTTGTCGCACTGTTAAATGATAGTTTTTTATGCATGTGATTTGTAGAGGTCGTGTGTTCGGGTCCTGACAAAGTCGGACTTCTTTCAAAAATGATCTTGGCTCCCAGGCCGACCCAGCCTTGAGTGGGTACCAGGTCTTGTCGTTGAAAGTGAATGCGGCCGATTGCCGCGTGGGCCATACAATTTAGGCCTGACCCTATATGCCCAGTACACCAGGAAAAAGGCTTGGGAAAAAATACCCTGTGGTTTTGAATGTTATAATTATTACCACTATGGATCAATAGACCTGAAAATTACTTTAGCATATGCAGACAAAGAAAGTAATTCTCGTTAGAAGCTGCGAAAGCTGCAATTGATCCTGATGTAGACTATCGGGTGAACTAAACTGAACACACGTCACAGTCTGCGAGAGCTAATCAAACGCTCGTTATCACAAGGCACATCTTACAGGCAGTCCGTTATTGATTCAATGTTCACTGCTGTGTATTTATATAACCCTACCTGTACCTGTTCTCCTCCTACTCCTTCTACGTTGAAATCCTATCATTTTTTGGCTGACTTTTCTAGGCAAAGTTTACGTTCAGTAGTTTTGCTACTAAATGGTCGGCTATTGATACCAGTGTCGAAACCAAGGCAAGGCAGTCTGCTGTCAAATCGCCTGCAGATGGGATCGAACCCGGCATTACAAATCCCATTCGCAATGTCTAAGTCAAATGCGACTTCTATATACTTACTTGTAAATACTGAGATTTTGCCCGAGCAACGCCTTTAGGGTACTTTTTTCGATTTCCAACTGCCAAGGGATTTTTTTACATGCGCAACAATGCACACGGGCGTCCGATCTCACTACCCAGAGACCAGGGGGATTACTAGAAGTCCAAGTCAACGTGAACAAATCCTAGCCCCTACCGGGGATTGAACTCGGAACCTCTAGCATTGAGGCTGACACCATGCCTCGAGACCACGCAGCCCACCTGGTTTTCGGAAAATCTGTCTGAAGCGTTTAAGTTAAAAAGCGCAAAATGTTTTCCCTTGTGGTCTACGAGATAGCCCACGACTGACACTCGTATGCTTCTACCGAGAAAAAGAGAGTTATAAAGACAGACACATTTACAGATATTTACAGACGGACAGACATACTGACAAAAGGTATGATCGACAAACAGATGGACTAATATACCGAGCGAAAGACAGACAAACATGCCAAACAACAGGTAAGCAGATAGTTTGGCAGACATGCACAAAGACATACAGATTAAAATACTAACAGACAGACAGAAAAAAAAAGGCAGACTGATTGACTTTGGGCTGACAGACGTGCCTATTAACAGACAGGTAGACAGACCGACAGACAGAACGAACGAACGAACGAACGAACAAACTTTATTTTTAAAGGGTTAAGAATTGGGCACGCAGGCCCGTCTAACATTCTGCCCTTCCAGACACACAGACAGACACAGACAGACGATCAGATCTTGAAGTTCAATTATTACTGGTCATGTACTGTCATTGAGCCACAGTAGTGCAGTAAAGCCTGTAGGACAGATGTCATTAGTTTAAATCCTAACTAAACAGAGTCAAAAAATTGTGTTTGAATGACAGTCTAAAGTGAGAGCTAGAAAGTGTACTATGAAGTAAAGAGCAGTGTTTACGACACCAATCGGATGTAGAAACAGTGGGACAGCATCCTATATTAAATCCTAACTGCTTGCAGATGAGAACTGTACGCAGTACTCTCGTCAAGTGTACAAAGAATTCTGGTTAGTAAAGGCAGCAGTTGTGATCCAGACATCGTCAGTCGAGTGTAGAAACAGTGGAACAGCATCACATACGAAATCCCATTTTGGCTCTTGCCAAGTCTGAAAAAGATATTCTGGGTAGTAAAGTCGGCATCTAAGATCTTGACTAAATCACGCAGTTCCTGTCAATTCTGATTTTTTTTTAAACCTAGAAAAAGAGAGAAAGAGAGAGAGAGAGAGAGAGAGAGAGAGAGAGAGAGAGAGAGAGAGAGAGAGAGAGAGAGAGAGAGAGAGAGAGAGAGAGAGAGAGAGAATTTGAATCTAGCATCTTTAAACTAGTCCACAACATAGGGTCTAGAGGGGAGCGGAATGGTTGTTTACGTTTCCCCCCATTGTTGCGGGTTCTAGGACCCCTTCTGGGGCACAGTAGAATAGACCTAATAACCCTCCCCCCCCCCCCCATTCCAAATCGTACTCGTCACCAGAACAAGCATCATCAAAGGCTACTGATTAAGAGTGTCTCCTTTGTTCGCATCTGAGGGGCGAGGACCCCACAGTCTGCTTACAAATAAGCCAAAGCTGTGATACGGATGTTGAAAGTGGCTCTCTATAACGTACAATACAGAGTAAACAAACACTTTATTGCACAGTTTATTGTAAGGAACCAGCAGTATGCTTACACACACACACACACACACACACACACACACACACACACACACACACACACACACACACACACTCACAAGCGAGAACTTTCATACGGATGTAACTGAAAAATAAAAATAAATAGTCCGGAACAGGCATAATTTTCCATCAGAGTTTACAATCGACGAACACGGAAAAAATAAATATATATATATATTTTTGTTGTGAGCCGTCGTGGTGTAGCGGCTAGAAGCACGGCTGAAGATCGGAAGATCTTGGGCTCGGGTCTTGACGAAGACCGAGTGTTTTCTTTTTTTTTTCTCGGAAAAATCACCCCAGCTCCAGGGTCAGTCCCGCCTTAAATGAGTACCAGGAACAGCCCTGTAATGTAAAGGTGACCGGAGTAATGCTGACCACATTACCCATCAAATGCGGATTGGTTCATAAAATCCAGGTCTAGCCCTATATGCCCAATGCGTTTTAGGCCGTGGAAATGGTCCTTTACTTTTTATATTTAAAAAAAAAAACATTGTTACATTAAAAAAAAATTTGTTCAAACATCTTGCTTAATTGTTAATTTGATCTTTTGTTTATTTACAGATCTCATGGTTTACCACTTCGATAACGACATCAAAGTCAATCTCCAAGGACTAGGAGTCTACTCCATAAGTCCAGAGATTGAATTTCCATTCTCCTCAAATTCTACTTACTCCGTTCTGCCTCCAAAACTAAAAGATGCAGAGTCATTCACACAACCGCTAGCACCGCTATCACCCTCCCACCTTCCAGAGTTTTCCTCGCTGTCGTCTGCTGGTACGCAGAACTGTCAGTCATGCTACACAAAACCTCGATCGTTGTCGTCATTCTCATCATCTGGGTATACATCGGCTCCAAAATGTTCATTTACAGTCTCCAGGAAGTTGAACTCTTCATCCTGCTCTCAGACTTCTTCATCGACGGGAGGGTTGGGACGATCGTCTCTAGTTTCTTCGCAGTCCAGACAGTCACTGCACTCGTCATCATCTTCGTTATCACCTTGCAGAATGGATAAAATTGATCACGGTTATTTAAGTGAAGGTGGGTATAATTTTCTTCTTTTTTCTTTGCGTTCACCGGCTGTAAACTAGGGCGGAAAGTACTGGTTGTTCGTCCCCTTCTGGGCCGTAATAGGTGTGCATGGGCATCTTTTCTTACAGAACTGGCTTATCTGTATGCAGACTTATGGTTGCCTGCCTGTCAGGCAAATACACCCCGTCTAGGGAGGCAATAAGTCTACTATGGAACCCCCTTCCCCCCTCCCTCCACCCGCCCCAATCCCCCTTTGTGCTTTACTGGGGGGGGGGGGGGAAATAATCACTTTCAACCAGCATCCCTGGAAGTAGGAGGGGGTGGGGGCTTTAGGCTATAATTGTGACTAGGTTATATGCGCCATATTAAATCGCTTAGCATTGCACTCTACGAAGAGCCTTGAATAGGACTTCTGCAGTGTTGAGGCGATCAGAGGAGACAGACCCAGATACTGTTTCTACCGGCGACGAAGTCGTCTGCCGGCGAGCCAATGGGTGACCTGGTCGCTGATGTTTGTGTTGGTGCAGTAATAATCATCGTCTTCTGTACAGTGATTGCCACCACTGTCGCCATCATCATTGTGGTCAGTTGCTAACATTGTTATTTTCATTTTCATCGTTATTATCATCCACAGCTCCACCATCTTCATCATTACCTTTATTTTCCTCTGTATTATCATCACCCGTTTCTTTGGATTAAACTTCATAAGCACTACCACCATGATCATTATCATAATCATCGTCATTGTCGTTGTCATCGATTGCTAATCATCATTATAGTCATTGTCTTCAAATCGTCAAAAGAAGTAGCCTGACCATAATTATCTCTTCATATTTATCGTGATAATTCTTGTCACTATACTGAACTCTCTTGCTTCGTGAAAACAAAAAGATCACGTGAGAAATTTAAAGTTACTTTTGGGTCACATGGTGGTTTTGAATTTCCGGTGGAGAGTTATACAGTATAGCTTGACAATGTGATTTATTCATTTTACCGAAATGTATTCATTTTTGAGCGTCATTATATGTTGTTTTGCGAGCTGCCGTGGATAAGCGACCTGTGGATCGAAAGGTCATGGGTTTCGAATCCTGACAAGGGCTGGATTTTTTCAAAAATGACCTTGTCTCCCAGGTCAACCTAGCCTTGAGTGGGTACTAGTTACAGTCCTCGAAAGTAAAGGCGACTGGCATGATGCTGACTACATCACTCACCAAGTGCCGTTTGATCTATAAAATATAGGTCTAGTCCTATATACCTAATAGAACTGAAAGGCAAGGAAAAGGGTCCTTTACTTTTTTTTCTTCAAATTATACGTTGATTTAACTCTGCAGTAACGCACTGGACTAGCCACAGCGAAATATGCCAAGCGATCAGTTGTGCAAAGTATTATGTGTATACTCTGTAGTGTCAGCTACAGAGAGTCAGGTTTAACATTTGGCTGTGAATCCTTGAAAATTAGTAAACAAGCAATACCGTTTCTGGAGGCCTCGAGTACGTGATTTTATAGAAGAATTCCTAGCAATCCGTGGACAGCTGCGATAATTCAGTGTGCAGTAATATTGGTTCCCTAGGGAACAGATACAACTTTTTACAACCGACAAAACTAAAACGCCGCTCGAATTCCAATGTAAATTCTGCCAGGTTATTTCTCCTATTCAATCAGAAATTCGCAGGTGCTACAGAGCCTGTGCACTGTGCTGAACGTCTTCGGACTCAGACTTGAGTTAGAAGAAGAACGGAGCACTTATGGATTACAACCCGTGTGCCATGAGGTTGATCTGTTGTTTAAACTCAAAACCTCATCAGAATTACCCAACCTCACGGCTGTTATCTTTCACAACATGACAACACTAGTCATTCCCTCCACACTGAAATGCATCTTCAACATCATGACTGTTTTCTTCCAACTCTGGTGCACAACTGACCATGAGCCAACCTCGGGCTTTGCCCCGTTCATATCTCCAGCTCCGTGCGACTTCTTTGGCACGGGTTTGCGTCTCGGCTTGTACTAAGCGTGGACCACCACGGAAAACACCTCATCGCAACAGCCAAAAAAGACCAACCCATATATTTTAAAAGAGGTGAGGTTTCAATAAACAACTTATCACACACATCAGGATTAGACAGTAACCATTGTTTTGTCATGTTTTGAGAAGAAGGACACTGGAGCATGTTGTGACCCCTGAGAAGATCTGTATAAACAGACACAGAGGAAGACAGCGTTAGAAGATTCTTGACTGCCTTCCATCGTGGCATTAGGGGTGTCAACACAAGAATACACTCAGTTACAGATCGCAGATCGTGGAGAGGCATGATTGCCCACGGCATTCGGTCACTTGCTGACGATGATTAATAGGGTCCGCATTAATGGTGGTAGCGTCACTTATCTTTAAACACACCCATTACAGTCTTTATTATTATTATTGTCATCATCTTCACCATCATCATCATAGTCATCATCATCTTCATCAATTACTGCATTTTTTTCATCACTATCACCATCATCATTATCATCGTCAGCACTAGTACCTTCACAATCACCTTAATATTTTTTTCTTCTCTTCTATACCATCATTATCATGTTTTTAATCATGAAACTGAATGAAATGCCTGCCTTACCTGCTGTTGCATGTACAATGGTACCTTGGTATACGACTGCATTCATGTAAGTCAAACCTTATATAGTCCTGTTAGGACACAAACATTTTTGCCTGGTATACGACTTTTGTTTGGGACACGACCATCGTTCTAGAATTTGTGAAACAGTACCATCTCCTCCTTCCTTCTCAGCTCCAGCCTAGTCGGCACTCTACTCTACTCAGCATGTAAGGTTAAATATTATTTTTTTTTTCATTAAAGCTTCTGTTTTTATGTATTTTAATACTGGTAAAACTGTGTTTACCGTCCTATTATTGTTAAGTTATGAACAAAATGATTTTTATCCCCATGCGAACGAATTAATCATGCACCCTTTACTTCTTAAAACGTGCGGTGGGGAGGGGGGGGGGGGGGGGCGGGAGGGGGAGACTGAATTATATACGTCCTGTTTGGTATACTTACTGTATTGTATACGTCCTGTTTGGTATACTCCTGTTTGGTATACGTCATGTTAGGTAAACGTCCCAGGATGTGGAGCAGATTAACTAGGTATACCTCGGTACCACTGGACTTTGGACAACGATGGTAGAATATTATTGATTACTGATTTTAAAATTGTCATCATAGTACACCTTGTATATCCGAAGTATATTTCTGAAATCGTGGTGTCTTCCCATTTGTTTATCTGTGCCTCTTCGTTGCGAGTCCGACTAGTAATACTAACGTACCGAGATCGAAACCCATTGCTGGCTGCGTGGATTTTATCATTTATCTGGGGCTTCGCAGTTGTTTATCCCAGCCTAAAATGTTTACCAGTCTAGCTGTTGGGGAATCAAGTCGGCACATTTGTTAACGCTGACCATATTACCCACCTAGTGCCAATAGTCCGTAAACATATGAAGTTCTCTTCCCAAATGCCTGATTACATTAAAGTTTATGAAAAGTCTATACATTTGTTATCATGATTTTCATTTGTTTATCTGTCTTCACATTTGTTTATCTGTGTCTTCACATTTGTTTATCTGTGTCTTCACATTTGTTTATCTGTGTCTTCACATTTGTTTATTTGTGTCTTCACATTTGTTTGTCTGGTCTTCACATTTGTTTATCTGGTCTTCACATTTGTTTATCTGGTCTTCACATTTGTTTATCTGTGTCTTCACATTTGTTTATGTGTGTCTTCACATTTGTTTATCTGTGTCTTTACATTTGTTTATCTGTGTCTTCACATTTGTTTATCTGTGTCTTCACATTTGTTTATCTGTGTCTTCACATTTGTTTATCTGTGTCTTCCCATTTATTTATCTGTGTCTTCACATTTGTTTATCTGTGTCTTAACATTTGTTTATCTGTGTCTTCACATTTGTTTATCTGTGTCTTCACATTTGTTTATCTGTGTCTTCACATTTGTTTATCTGTGTCTTCACATTTGTTTATCTGTGTCTTCACATTTGTTTATCTGTGTCTTCACATTTGTTTATCTGTGTCTTCACATTTGTTTATCTGGTCTTCACATTTGTTTATCTGTGTCTTCACATTTGTTTATCTGTGTCTTCACATTTGTTTATCCGTGTCTTCACATTTGTTTATTTGTGTTTTCACATTTGTTTGTCTGGTCTTCACATTTGTCTATCTGGTCTTCACATTTGTTTGTCCATGTGTCCTTACATTTGTTTATCTGGTCTTCACATTTGTTTATCTGTGTCTTCACATTTGTTTATTTGTGTCTTCACATTTGTTTGTCCGTGTGTCTTCACATTTGTTTATCTGGTCTTCACATTTGTTTATCCGGTCTTCACATTTGTTTGTCCGTGTGTCTACACATTTGTTTATCTGTGTCTTTACATTTGTTTACATGTGTCTTCACATTTGTTTATCTGTCTTCACATATGTTTATGTTGCAGACTCTGGCTCAACAAGCATACCTCCCTACCATCACTCATCTTTGAACACACTAACTTTCACCGATGACATACACATGGAAATGGGTCACCAGAGGGGCTATGTCTCAGTGCCCTACCACGAGGAAATTCATATTACCAAGAAGAAGGACAAGAAGAATAGGAACAATGCAAGTAAGTCTATAAACTATATATATATATATAATACCAGGTTATCTAAAGAAACCAAATCAGTACAGACGGAATGGGGAATGTTTAAACAATCACTTTTAGAAGCAACAAGACAAACATGCAGAATGGTAAAGAAGAGAAGCACAAGACCATTAAAAACACCTTTGTGGAACGAGGAAGTTAAAAACAGCAGTGAAGGAGAAGAAATGTAGATACTAGGCGTGGGCAAGAGGTCGACCACGCTGATGATGGACCACGGAAATATCAGAGACACTGAAAAGTGCTTTATACTAAGCAAACAGAAGGGCCCGTCCCAGAGATCTGTTCCTGCCTTGACGCCGCGAGTCATTTCTGGAGTAGAGAAAAGAAGAAGGACAGAAAAGAAGAGTAAGTGTGGTACTGGTAGGATGTATTAGAGAGAGTGTGCGTGCGTGCGTGTGTGAGAGAGTTATGTGTTTGTGTGTGTGCGTGCGTGCGTGCATGCATGTGTGTGTGTTTTTTTTTTTTTTTATAGTATGCATGCCTGACCGTGTGATGCTGACCACATTACCCAGTGAGTTCCCTTTGGATTACATAATATAGGTCTAGGTCCTTGAGGGGTGGGTATAAGTCTGGGAAGAGAAAAAGAGTAAGGCCTTAGAGAAGTTGGGTGCATAATGTGGCGGATGATCTCCAGATGTGTGTATCGGGGCATCTTGCTTGTGATCGAGCAGTTTCCGTAAGGTTGTTATGGGAGCAATGTTCTGCAAAGGTCAGTCTAATGACTGTGACTGTATGCCATATACGCCTAATGGCGTAGAAAAGGGCCATTTGCTGACTTTACCTAGTATACATGTCTGAGACACACACAGTAGACATAACTGCATGATAACGAGTGTGCCTGGAATCCAAGTGTTTGAGTTTAGAGGTCAAGCGTGCCAAATTGGTGGGTCCCAGAATACGAGGCGAATTCGAGAAATCGAGCTGGAAAGACAAGCGTTTTCGGCGTTACTCGACAGCATCTCGATAACTTTTAAATGTATCAAGTCGCGGTAACATTGCAGAAGGAGGTCTTAAGCCTGTTGACAAGTTATTTGATGATGATAGACATCATGGTCAAAAGTAGCCAAGTTTTCCACTGCCGAAATAAAATTAAAAAAAAAACATGCCTCATGAAACTAACAGGGTAAATGCTTTGTAGTGCTGGAGCACATTAAAATTATTGGCATCCATTAAAACTGGAAAAAAAAGGGGGGGGGGGTTATATAACCTACAAAGGTCAGTCATGCAACCAGCGGATTACATTTGTATCCCGAGATTTTGCTGTAGTTCGTTCGGTGCGAACAGGAGGCTGCATGTTCTCGAGGTATGGAATCCGCCTCGAGTGCTAGAGGTTCCTGCTTAATACCCCGGTGAAGGCTGGGATTTTGTCACTAGGACTTCTATAAATGCCCCCGGTCTCTCTAGTAAGATCGGACGCCCGTGTGTATTGCAGCACACGTAAAAAATACCTTGGTAATTGGAAATCGAAAAGAGTAGCCTAACATCGCTGTCCGGGCAAAATTTGGAGTTAAAAATCTACCCAAAGTATTTCAGGATCCTCGTCGGTGATACGGAGTTCGTGCACTTCGCTGAGATTCTCCTGACTCAGGCTTGAGTCAGAAGTAGAAGAGAGCACTTAAGGGTTTCCACTTGTGCCATGATATTGATCCGTCGTCTAATCTGAACTATAAATAAAGAACTTGGAAAACCCTGAGGCGACAGATACAGCATGATAAACACATTACCATTCACTCACCGACACTCATAGAAAAAAAAAAAGATAGAAGGACACAGTAGACAACATACATAGTGAAAGCTGTGGTCACGACCACCATCATCAATCATCATGTTACGTGCCGATAAGCGTTCTTCATTTGAACTTTTACTGTTCAAACAAAAATAAAAACACATTATAGATGTCCGAATAACAGCAGCAGTTGGTATTTAAATACATTTGCTCGTTGGCATTTTGTTTCCGATCTTCTACTTTTTTCTATTAGTGCCAGTCAGAACATTTTCTATTACTTTATTAATATGGTTAAACAAAATAAATTCTTCAGATATAGAGGGTTAAAGGAGCAAATTCTTGTGACTGAACGAGTTAATGTAGAAGGTGAGTGTGTGTCTGTGTGGTGTGACTGTGTGTGTATGTGTGTGTGTTTGCGTGTATGTGGTCCAAAACACCAGTTAAAATTGATAAAACCAATAATAATTGAAAACGGTGTTTACTTACAGCGAAAAATGGAAATCATCTTTGGGAATTTGTTCGAGATCTTCTTCGAGACCCGAAAACCAACCCAAAGTTATTAAAGTGGGAAGATAAAGAGGTAAGAAGTGTTTACAAGTTGAAACATTTGCATAATGTTTATTAAACACAGCCGATTGTTGAAGCCAGCTACTTCTCTTCTCCAAATGTTACTTATGTTAAGTGTTTCAGTTCCTAGTAGTTTTTATTTCAACAACTTCTGTGCTATAGTTTTTGCATCTTAACGCAAAAAATTATTAGTTTTATCATCATCACATTCCATATTTGACATGAAATGGTGTGGGGAGGAACACTTTGCGATCCATTGCTTGATGGGTAACCATAGCTATTGTCATTCGGTGTCCATGTAGAAGACCTTGAATGTCATCAATCCATCTGACTGACTAACTTTGTTTCTACCCCACCAGAACATCAAAAAGTTAGTTGCGTATACTTTACAGGACGTTGCAGAATCAACCCCAAGTGAACCTGGCTGTTGTGTGGTTTCTCTAGGCAAATTTACGTCCAGTAGTTTTCCATTGCATCTAGACGGTCGGCCCCCTGATACCACTGTCGAAACCAACGCAAGGCGCATAGCCCGCAGCTGGGATCCAACCTGGCACCCCGGCATTTCGAAGCGTTCGCATCGACTTAGCCACAGAGCCGACTACCAGAACATCACACAAGCGATAAACACCCCATGACACAAAATGCCACCATGTGGATGAGAATCACCCGTGATGAGGTCCCGGAAACCGCGCTCAGCCATTATACCATATTATTGGTTGGGCTGTATTGCGTCCCCTGGCAAGAGCCAGGGTGGGGCTTCAAAAAAAAAACCGAAAACGGCATCGAACAAGGGAATGACTAGAGCTATTATTCCATCTTTTCATAACCCCACCAATTGCTGTCACATCAGATGTGTAACGTGTGCGTTGGTAGTTGTTTTGGCTGCATGCTAATAAGGTGACCAAACCATTTGGTGTTCTGTTTCTCACTGAATTAAGTGCATGGTGTTGTTCCCACAGTGTATCTGATAGTATCATTTTTCACTTTGTCTCGATTGTTAAGTTGGCGGCTTTCCTCCGGCATCTTCTTCCACAGATGTTAATATTACGTCGGTTGTTACCCTTTGATAATGACTGGCACTGCCAGCACAGTATTGGTATGAATATATTGTTCAGTGTGTCTTGACTGTCATATTTATATTTGGATGTCCACATTACAGCAGCAACTGGTATTTAAGTGCAGTGGCTCGTTGGCATTTTGTTTTCTGATCTATTTTTCCGTTCTCTGAGAATATATCTCCTATATATTTAGATTCTTTAACTTGCTTCCTACATGTACCCTTTATACTCGGGCTAGGAAGTCTGCTGACTGCATTTGTTCAGTTTCGGTCGCATTTACTTTTCATTTTATATCTCCTGTATGTTGAACTTAGCCTGCTCATTTGGTGTTTTCAGTGTACTGCCCTGATTGCAGAACAGGGGCTGATCGTCTGCTAATAGTAGCTTATTTATTGTATGATGATCTTTATTCTTTTTATTCTTCTTCTTCTTCTTCTTCTTCTTCTTCTTCTTCTTCTTCTTCTTCTTCTTCTTCTTCTTCTTCTTCTTCTTCTTCTTCTTCTTCTTCTTCTTCTTCTTCTTCTTCTTCTTCGTCCCTATTCCTGGAATACCTCGCGGCCTAAGGGTAGGATCTAATTCTTTCTATCTTTCAGTTTGAACTGCTTTAAAAATCGCTTTTTTGTATACTATGTCTATTTTGTTTTTATAGCTAGTTCTATTTACTGCTTTAATGGAGCACAATCATCATTATCTTCATCAATTTCCACTTGTGCCATTAAGCTTTTGGGAAGGAACAGTTTGCGATGCATCGCTTAATGAGCAGCAATGGCTATGTGGTTCCGTGTCGATGAAGAAGTTCTTAAATGTCATCAGTCTATTTCTCCTAGGGCGGCCTCCTGCTGCCGCTTCAAATACTTTTCACGTTCAGCGCCAGTGTTGGTAGTTGTTCTCGCTGCATTTTTACACCAAACTTTTTGATCTTGTGTTTCTAAATGAATTTGCTGCAGATCGTTGTTCCTACAATCTGTGTGATAATATCATTTCTAACTTTATCTCGGCTGGTTAGGTTAGTGGCTTTCCTCGGGCATCTTACTTCGCAGGTATTAGCTTGACGTCAGTCAACCTTTGACAATGTCCAGTTATGACACTGGTAGCACAGTGTTGGTATGAATATGATTTTTTTAATCAGTTTCTTAGCGCACATACATATGTTTGGATGACTTATTAAGGGTGTAAGTTGGTATATAAGTGCACCGGCTCGCTGGCATGTTGTGTCTATTTCCCGATCTATTCCTCCATCCTCCGAGAATATACTTCCTAGAAATTTAAATTCGTTAACTTGCTACAGACCAGTACAGTTGCATTCAACCCGACATGTAGCGGACTAGCAATTCTGCCGACCTGCATTACTTCTGTTTTAGTAGTAATTATTTCCATGTCATATCTTCTGCATGTTGAACGTAGCCTATTTAATGGTTGGTGTTGTAGTCTACTCCCCTCATTGTAGAACAGGCATTTATTATATGCAAAACGTAGCTTGTAGCCTATTTAATGGTCTCGTAGTCTTCTCCCTACATTGTAGAACAGGCATTTATTATCTGCAAAACGTAGCTTGTAGCCTATTTAATGGTCTTGTAGTCTACTCCCCTCATTGTAGAACAGGCATTTATTATCTGCAAAACGTAGCTTGTAGCCTATTTAATGGTCTTGTAGTCTACTCCCCACATTGTAGAACAGGCATTTATTATCTGCAAAACGTAGCTTGTAACCTATTTAATGGTCTTGTAGTCTTCTCACTACATTGTAGAACAGGAATTTATTATCTGCAAAACGTAGCTTATTTATTGCGAGTTGATCTAATTCTTCCTCTGTAAACTAAAGTTCCTCTTTTTCTGGTTTTTCTGACTCGTAGCTATTAATGGTCTTTTTATTGCGAGTAGATCTAATTCTTCCTATGTAAAGTTCCTCATTTTCTGGCTACGTAAAAGTAATAATTAAAAAAAAAGGACATATAACAAATCCCTGACTCTCCCTTGTACTGCATGTATGATATCATAAAATCATGTCTTAATACGAAGGTCTATAACTGCGTCTCTAAGACCAGGACCACACACTAAAGAAATCAATAGGTGGGAACGGAATGTGGAGGGGGTGGGGAGGGGGAACCTAAGACCCCATATAATTTTAGAGCAGGCTGATGGGAATTATATTTTTTCATTGTGCAATAATAACAATGATAATAAAATAATATTAATTATAATGTTTTTAAAGAGCACAAAAATATATATTACATATGAAATAATACTTGAAAATAAGTACTTGTATACAAAAGTTTTTTTTTTTTTTTTTTGGAGGAGGGTCGGGGGAGGGGGTAAAGATAGCTAATTCCCTGCAAATTATAAATGGGCTGGAGCGCTGCATATTTTTACAGATGAGAAATGGTTGGGGGAGGAGATCGATAGATAGCGCTGCCTATGTCTTAGACAAACTGTATTTGAAACACAAAACTTATTTGGTTATCGGTGCAAACAGGCTTTTTTCCCCCCCCCCCCCCCCCGAGTTGAAAAAAAAAAAAAAAAAACAGTAGTGCTGAAAATAAAAGTATGCTTAAAACAATGTGCCGGTACTACGTACTGTTGCGTACCACCACCCTCGCCCTCCCACAACCCCCTCTCCAGACCCCACCCCCACCCCCTCCCCATGAAAGCATAACTGAAAGATAAATCATGAGTTAAACACTGTGGGTTTCAGTAACACATGTTTGTGCCAAAAAAGCTTGAATGTCTAGTTACTTCAATTTAATTTCACCACAAACATGGAAGCTATATTCAGTGTAGCTATATTTAGCATGGAAAAGGGTTAGGGTTAGCGTTCGGGCTTAGGGTTAGGGATCAGGGTTAGGGCTAACAAAACACATATTAAAAATAAAAAAAACGAAAAAATAAACCTCGAAAGAAAACACTTCAGTGTCACATGATGACAATTCCAGGAACTACTGGATTCCCTTTGTTTGGTGTGAATTAAAATTAGAGTACCAAAATATGTAACTGAGTGCGTTAATCAGACAACGGTTTTAGAATGGAAGTGTTGTAGCCTAAACTGTAACGCACACACTATGACTGTCTATGTTACCAAGAGAGATACGGTTAACGGGCCTTGGACCGCAAAACATCATTTTCCAACATGTCTAATATATTCGTGACTGCGGCACTGTGTCCTTTCTAAATTACCCCTTTGAAATGCAATCCGTTTTTAATTATCTATTTTCCGGGAGACGCAGCCGTTCCCATGGTGCATCAGGGGATTTATTAGCCAAACTTACTGTGGGAAGCGAGTATATCCACATCATTAGTTAGACACTGGTGTCTCGAACGGGGACGACCAGATACCCCCCCCCCCCTCCCCCCTTTCCCCCCGGCTCCAAAAGGTTAGTAGGTGAGGGGCGGTTCATGGAGGAAGGAAGGGTGCACTAGACATCTATGGATGTCCTTTTTATTCAAGTTTCGAATAATACATTTCATATTATTTTAAATATTTGATTTATTTGACATTCAGCACATTATTATTATCATTGTTATTATAATTATTATTATATTTCTAATTATTATTATTATTATTATTATTATTATTATTATTATTATTATACTGTGTTTAGTATTATTCGCCCAATAAAGGCGTTAGTATTATTATGATAGCAAAAATATAAATAATATAAGGGGACTTTTTCTCTTTTTTTTTTTTTTCATCACTTAAACATTTTAGTTAGGTAACAACAACAACAACAAAAAAAAACAATGTTACAGTATCGATGTATGAATTACCCAAAGACTAACCACCTTAACCACACATAGGTTACGTCTTTATGTTTTTCACGTTCAAGGAAACGATACAGTAGACACTAATTTTTGTCAAACACAACACGTGTTTTTTATGGAAAGTCAAATTGGTGACATTTGAACTTTATGCTATATAACTCTTAAAGGGCAATTCAGCAAGGATTATCCGATATTTATATACCTCAAATAAGCAAAAAATGCATTTATATGTTACTTTTTCAACATAAAATTGCCAAGTAACATCGCCGTTGACAAATACTAAGGCTGCTTTGCGTTGTTTTGTAAACGATGGGCAACTAACTTGTGTCCATGTTTCGTTTCTTCATTACAGAACGGAGTGTTCCGATTCGTGCAGTCGGAGAAAGTGGCTCAGCTGTGGGGAGAGAAGAAGAACAATCCTTTAATGACGTATGAAAAATTGAGTCGTGCTATGAGGTAAGTATTTCATTAGGCTGGCTTGTTGACTGATTGCTTGGTCAGTTGGCAGATTCGTAAACTGGGTTGTTTTTGGGTTTATAGGTAGCTAGGTTGGGTGGTCGGTTAGTTGTTCAGTTTAGCGGCTGGGTGCTGTGTGCATTTATGAATCTTTTAGAACTGCATCTCTCAAACTGTTTCACCGTGGTGTAGTGGCTAGACTCTCAATTGGGGATCCGAAAGTCCAGGTTTGGGTCCTGACGAAGCTGGATTTTATTCTCTTCTTTCAAAAATGAGTTTGACCCACAGGTCGACCCATTCTTGAGTGGGTACCAGGTACAAGCACGAAGTGCCGATTGATCTACAAAATATAGGTCTAGCCCTATATGCCCAATACGCTTGAAGGCTTGGAAAAGGGTCCATTACTGGTTTTTTTTTTCAACTTTTGTAAATTAATAACTAGAATTCGCATAACTGCTGTGATTGGTTACGAAAGAGTTGGTAGTACGATTCATGTCTCGAAAACAGACAGTAAGGCGATCTTATTCACTCAGCGGCCTCCATGGTAGTTTAATATGTTAGCGTGCTAAATACAAGACACTTTGTAATGAATAACGAGAGGTAGTTACATCATTAACCTTTCGCCCCAGCCCACCTATCAGTTTAAACCCCTTGCCTAGTCAGAGTTTACGTCCGAAGACTTGTCAAAAGTAACCGGAGGCTATAACTAATGTTTTTGGGACCCCATCGCTTAACTTGCTTAGCAGTTGTGTGGAGGTTGAAGGTATTACTTTGATCTCCCTAATGATTAAGCACAAGTACTGAGGGAGGCATGAAACTGTGAAAGGTATTAATAACTCTTTTAGAATCAGGCAGGTATTATTTTAACTTAGTTTCAGGGTTCTTTTCAGGCTTTTTTTCCCCCCACCCCATCTCGACGGCCGCGAGATTTGGTAGGGAACTAATAGGGACCTTCCTGGTAGGGAACTAATAGGGACCTCCCTGGTAGGGAACTAATAGGGACCTCCCTGGTAGGGAACTAATAGGGACCTCCCTGGTAGGGAACTAATAGGGACCTCCCTGGTAGGGAACTA